TCAAATGAATTTTTTGTTTTGACATGCAATATCACTCATAATTTCCCATCATCCTTCTGTAAAATTTTGAAAATTGTCATGTACTTCAAGTCAATGCTATCCTTGGCTACTATGTCCATTCCCAGGGAGGAAATTTGGAGCTAAAAATTTACTTCTGTTTGAGTTGTGTAGCCTTTGGCATTTTTTAAAGTAAACTTTTCAGGGGCAAGAGGTTAACACTCTGCATGCCAATATTTTTGTTTTCATATTCTTAAAATGAATTAGCCTAAATTAACTGGGTAATGATTTGATTTCTCCTTGAGTAATGATTTGATTTCTTTTTTAATAATTTATTCATTTATTTTTAGTTTTCAACATTCACTTTTATAAGAGTTTGAGTTTTGAGTGTGCAATCTGATATAGGTTCTACTTATACATTCATATTAAGTATATTTCCCATTAGTCATGATGTAAAGAACTATTAGAACTAATGAGAGGAACCACGAGGATGAAGCAATAAAACAAAGCAACAAAGGAAAAGGAGAGCAAATGGTATGCTTCCATCTGCATTCAGACTCAATAGTTCTTCCTCTGGATGTGGATAACATTTTCCATCATGAGTCTTTTGGACTTGTCTTAGATCCCTGCATTGCTGAGAAAAGCCACGTCTATCAAAGTCAGTCATTGCACAGTGTGGCTGTTAGTGTGTACAATGTTCTCCTGGTTCTGCTCATTTCACTCAGCATCAGTTCATGTAAGTCTTCCTAGGTTTTCCTGAAGTCTGCCTGCTCATGATTTCTTATAGCACAATAGTATTCCATTACATTCATATACCACAACTTGTTCAGGCATTCCGCAATTGATGAGCATCCCCAATGATTTGATTTCTATCACTAAGATCTGAGGAGTCCTAGGAAATAGTTACTCTTTGATATCATCCGAAACAAGCTTCCCAAGAGCCTAAAAACAAAGAGAGAGCATATTAAGAAGAAGAAAAATCTTCCAAAATCATTGCTGGTCCCTTTTTGAAATGCCTAATGACAGGAGTACATACCTTCCAACCTGGACATTCACATCTATTAACTTCCTCATAATGGTGATGAAACTCAAAGGCAAAGATGTTTCAGAACAGAATGATCAACATGTTTTAAAAAAAGATATTCAAGCATTTGACTATTTTATGATATATGGCTAATGACAGCCATATGAGACTACTACTTTGGAATTCACATTTACTCAATTAAAGTATAAAAATATATATTCAGTCAATACAGACATTTGCAACAAGACTGAGGCGACTTGCAAAAACAATTTAATCCTATACCCTAGCCTTGATTTCATTGAAAGGGACCAAATGAAAACAGAAAATTGCCCCTAATTTTCTCTGAGAATGAACTGCTTGGGGTAAAATGACATCTTCTTTCTCCTGCCTATTATAGATATTGTAGAAAAACCTCTATGTGAAAATTCAATTTTTTGTCAAATCCTTATTGCCCACAATCAAACTGACAAGATAATGCTGTTTTTCTTTTTCTTTTTTTAATGTTAACCCTTTATATTATAACCTATGGTATTAGAATGATATTAACTAAACCTAGAGTTTGGGGAATGAAGGCTTTGGTGAAACACTCTGCACTATATTTTTAAAAAGAGAAAATTTCTAACTTTCTGCTCTAGAAAGTAGAGTATTACATCTCATTCCAATTCCCCAAAGATCTTTTAATGTCATGTTATTATGCAGATCCTTTAAATTTTGTTTTTTGCTGTTAATTTGAGCAGTTTTAAAAATTTTGTAGATACCAGCATAATTTGGTGTGCAGCCAAATAGGAAGGTATATGAATTCTAGACATTCTTTTGATGCAGTACAAGGTTGAAAAATATGGAGCAAATTTTGTCTGGCAACATTCCCATTCCAGTTGAAGAAAAGTCCCTAAGTTGTAAAGAAAAAGAAATGTGAAATAGAGTTCTCTGGCCTAATGCTTACTTACGCTAGGAGAAATGCATCATCTTCCTACCAACTTAGTTGTGACTCAAGAATCAAGATAGTTTCTTATCAGATTATCATTCTTTCCTGAAACTTCCCTTCTACACCTAATATACTCTAATAGAAAGACAAGGAGTATGATGCAATATAAAGAGCATTCGATATGTAGTCAGGAGACCTTGGTTTGAACACTGGCTCTGCCACTTTAGATTGATCATCTGATAGTATGACTTGTGGGACTTTGGACAAGTCATGTAACATCTTTGGGCCTCAGTTCTTCACCTGTAAAAGAAGAACGAGAAGAATTTCATGAGCTGCCTCACGGAGCTATCATGGAAAAAATTATCTTATAAACATTCAAGTACTATAAAAATGTGATTTCTAATTCAAAAATCAAGTTTTTAAATGGTCCTTCAGAATACAAACATGGGAGAAGAAAAATCTGGTTCAGAGTTAAGGATAGTTGTGTGAAATTTAGAACTGGAAGGAACATTAAAGATCAACTAATCTAATCTCATTTTGCAGATGAGGAAACTGAGTGCCAAAGAAGTTATTGACTTGGTCATGGTCACATACAAAATAAGGAGCAGAGGCAGAATTTGAACTCAAATCCTCTGTATTCAAATATAATGTCCAAGTAACTAGTGAATAAACTTTCTCCCCCATCCCCCTCCTTTAACATCTCTAGTTCAATAAAAAATAGTGTACAACTGAGGCACAGAATCAAAGAGCTTAGACCTGTGAATGGCCTTAGAGGGTATTATAGCAGTAGTATTATAGTGTGTTAGAATGGACAATGAGCAGAAGAAATCATGATGAGGTAATTACTTTTTCTTTTTAAAATCCCTTAGAATGTGCCTCATACCCTGAAGGCTTTTTAGATCCGATTCTGGTATTACTTCAGAAAGTAAAGTGATTTCTCTGCCTCCTGCACATGTTCCTCCATTAAGGATAGTGGATGAATTCCTATGGATTCCTATAGATTTACCAATTATGCCCAGGGGGAAAATGAAGCTTGA